ACTACTGTCGAGTTGATTCCAACTCATAGCAACACCTCCTTGGGTTCCCAGACAGTATATCTATGGAAGTAGATTGCTCTGTCTTCCTTCTGAGGAGGGGCTGGTGGGTTTGAACTGCCAGACTTCTGGTTAGCAGTCAAATGTCTTAGGCATTATGCCACCAGAGCTCCCATATATACGTATATATATGTGTGTGTATGTGTGTGTGTGTGAGTGTGTATTCAGAAGGAAGTTTGATCAATTGACTTCCGTAGTGATACCACCTCGGAAACCCAAGGAGGGGTCGCTATGAGTCAGATCCGACTCAACAGCAGTGAGTTTTTAGTTTTTAGTGTGTGTGTGTGTGTGTGTGTGTGTGCATGGTCTTCATCTCTGAGTGAGACATGTGCACATGAAATACTATGATGAACAACAGGACAAGCAACGTCTCTCTCCTTCGACCTTTCCCTCTAAGTGTGTTAAATCTTAAACTTCTAGAAGCAGCAGGGCACTGAGCCTTGAAAGAAGTGTCTGTTAGGTAATAGGTCCTAGAGGATGGGTCACTTCCCAGTGGTCTTAAGCATGATGCAGGCACAGTAGGAACCTGGTGGTGAATTGTCTTCTGTTCTTTATTATCACTTCTCTGCCCACCTGATGGAATCAGATGCCCAGCTGCCAGCTCGTATCACAAGATCCAGATCAATTCTGATTCCTGGTCATAGAATAGAAGTCATTCTTATGTGCCTCGGAACCCTGGTGGAGGAAAAGTTTAGCGGTTCAAACCCACCAAACACTCTGTGGGAGAAAGATGTGGCAGTCTGCTTCTATAAAGATTACCATTTTGGAAACCCTATGGGACAGTTCTACTCTGTCCTATAGGGTCATTATGAGTTGGAATCGACTCAGCAGCAATAAGTTAATATTATATTATTAACTTTAATTACGTAAATAATGCATAGTGTATTCCCATTGTAGGAAGCTAAAGCATTACAAATAAATGCCAGGGCTAATATCCCTTGGCAACCCCCTGCCTTTATTTCCTTTCCAGGGTAATCATTGTTATCAATTTGCCTAATATAATTACAGATGGTTTCCAGGCATTTACATAAATATGTGTATCCCTAGAAATCTAATGTTACTCAGTGTGTGTGTTCTTTCCTGTAAATGTGATCATTCTATACCCAGTGCTGTGCAATACATTTTATTTACCTGCCTAGAGAGGAGCACAGGAGCTCTGGTAGTGTAGTGCCTCAGACACTTGATTGCTAACCAGAAGGCTAATGGTTCAAACCACTCCTCAGAAGGAAGGCTGGGCAATCTACATCTGTAGTGATACCGCCTTGGAAACCCAAGGAGGGGTCGCTATAAGTCGGGTCCAACTCGATGGCACATAACAACAACAGCAGAGAGTAGCACATATGAATACAGATGTAAAAGGATAAGTGATTCATTGCTTGTGGTGGTGAGAAATTAATAGCAATGTGTATGTCCGTTCATAAGGGAGTACACAAATCACTCAACTGTGCAAACCTTGGAAATCAATGCAGTGATTAAAAAGCATATTGCTGTTTTTGTGGGGTGCTGTCCAGTCCATTTTGACTCACAGCAGCCCCATGTGACACAGTAGAGCTGCCCCATAGATTTTCTTCACTGCAATCTGTACAGGAGCAGAGAGGTGGCCAGCTCTTTCTCTTGTGGAGCAGCTGGGTGTGTTCCAATCATGGACCTTTGAGTGAGCAGCTGAGCACTTAACCACTGTGCCACCAGTGCTCCTTAAAAAGAATGAAGGAAATATGCTATGAAGCAGATATGCATAACTGACCCAGAGAGAGCCATCCATACTTTTGCATTATGTACATTTTCCCATCAAATTATTTCTGACATGACACTGAAATTCTTTATATGTTGTCTTCCTGTATTACCCTGGAAGCTTCTGGAGGTTGACAGGAGGAGACTTTCATCTTTGTATCTAGCCTGCTTTGTTTCTGTGTGGGTCTTCAACCAGGGCTGTTGAATGAGTGAAAATATTAAATGAATTGAGTAAACTAATGCATTATACTTGAGTGAATAAACAAAGAATGAATAACTAAATCATATTTAAGATCTGTCCTGGAGGAAGTGCAGCCAGAATGCTCCTTGGAAGCAAGAATGGCCAGACTTCGTCTCACCTATTTTGGTCATGTTGTAAGAAGGGACCATTCCCTGGAGAAGGATGTCATGCTTGGTAGGGAGAGTGGAAGGTCGACGAAAGAGGGGGAGGCCTTCAAGGAGATGGATAGATAAGGTGGCTGCGATGATGGGCTCAAGTATAGCAGGGATTGTGGGGCTGGCGCGGGATCGGGCAGTGTTTCGTTCTGCTGTGCCTGGGGTCGCTATGAGTCGGAAACAACTCAACGGCACTTAACAACAACAACGTTTAAGACTTGGAGAGCTCTGGTGGTGTATTGCCTAAGGCATTTGATTGTTAACCAGAAGGCTGGCGGTTCAAACCTACCAGCCACTCCTCGGAAGGAAGATTGCGCAATCTATTTCTGTAGAGATACTACCTCAGAAACCCAAGAAGGGATCGGTATGAGTTAGGATCGGCTTGAAGGCAATGAGTTTTTTGTTTTTTTTTTCAAGACTTGGGAAGTGTTTTGTGATGTTATAATAGTTCTGGTTCAATATTCAAAATACAGAAGAGCTATGCTATTGGGTTCAGTTTTCAAAAATGAATAACAATTCCAAAAATACTTGCCTGAAAATGTTCCATGTTTTTTAAAATTAAATGATACATGTATTAGATTCTAGTTGCTGCTGTAACACATTATACAAGATTAGAGGTTGGGAAGCACAGATGGCTATTATCTCACAGTTCTGGAGGTCAGAGTTCAAAATGAGTCTTATATGGTAAAATCAAGGTCTTGGCAGGGCTGTGTTCCTTCTGGAGGCTCTAGGGAAATACTTGTCCTTGTTTGTTCCAGCTTCTAGAGATGCCTTACATTCCTTGGCTCACAGCCCCTTCTGCCGGCCTTAGAACTTATCACTCTAACCTTTGTGTTTCCATTATTGCTTTTCTTTTTTCTGACTTTGAGCCTTTTCGGTTCCTGATAAGCCAGGATAAACCCCATCTCAAAATCCTTGACTGAGTCACATCTGCAAAGTCCATGAGCCTTATTAGTTACACAGTCAGGTCCTGCCATCTTTGGAGGGCCATTATTCTTCCTCCCACAAGACATCCTGTTGCTACTGGTAACTCAATCTTACTTCAAAAGCTCATTATTGAGATCATTTTACCAATGCCAGTTCAGATGCAAATGTGTGGAGTTTGCACTTCTGTTCTCTTGATTAATCCATTTCAGAAAATCTACTTATTTACCAAGAAGACAAATCGTTTCTTATATTGCTTGCCAATAGGAATGGGCAGGAGACACAACTAAAGAGAACTTGCCGATTGTGTTATGTTCTTCCTGGGGAGTGGTCAGCTCCCTGGAGACCTACACTACTAACAGGGAAGTCAGATCACTGGCCACCAGGCAGTGTGGTCAGGTGCTGGTATAAAATGTCCAGTGTTGTGTGCCATTTAGTCAATTTGGACTCCTAGTGACCCCACATGACAAGAGAAGAACCATCCCTAGGGTTTGCTAGGCTGTACTCTTGTAAGAGCTGATTGGCAGGTCTTTCTCCACAGTGTAATTCACTGTGGGGGTCTGCACTACCAACCTTTTGGTTAGCAGCTGAGCGCTTAGCCATTGTGCCGCCAGGGCCCCTTAGTATGCTTTTGTGCAGTGCTATGACGCTATGATATTTGGGGAATGCATTAGCTGACAGCAATCACCGACAAAATCCCTTTCTTTCTAGCTTTGTTGCTCCTGACTCTTAAAGCGGACAGGAGAGCTGAAAGAGAGGCATGTGTAATAGTGAAATGTTCACTTATTGTGTGTCATGTGCCCTGAGGCTGGAGATAGACAGCGGCTCCGAACCCTGCTCCCGTCTTCTCATTTCCCTCTATGTAACTCCTTAAGTGGGCAGAAGTGTGTCTGGTTATATAATCTTGTTATAGTGGGAAGAGGAGCTATATTTAAATATGCATGTGTCAAACCCATAGTCAGCTACAGATACATATTTAATTACTGTAAGAACAACATCCAAGAACTTGAGTTTGGTGTGGGGGTTGATTTTATTCAAATTAGCGTTCTAATTCAGTGCAAAAAGAACTGAGCAGTGGTTTAAATGATGCCTCTCAGGAGACAGCATGTGTGTATTCTAAAGTCTTGCCTCATTGAAAGAGGCTTTTACAGCAGCTGGGAAGACATAAATGAGGAAAGAAAATAAGTGGATTAGGCCTTTGGAAACATGCTAGCTCTAGGTTCATTTTATTGTCTTCCTTGGGTCTTGGGTAGACCATGCTATCATGTCTGAGCAATGTCTCTGAGTTTGAGACCTATTGAGGTTCAGTGTGGCCATGCTCTCTGCTGAAAGCTTTCTTTGCACAAAAGCTCATGTGCCTCCAAGGGATGGAAATGGGGCTCTGACCTGGATGGTTTGACCCAGATATGTGCTCTATAGTCCCAAGGTCTAGCCTAGCAATAAATGATGAAAGGATTATCATAGATGTTCACTAGTTCATCCATCCAAGCAGACACTGAAGGTAAAGATACTTAGAAGGTCAAGAAACAGAGGTTGAATTTAGTTTCTGCCCTGAAAGTATTTATTGATTAGTGGGGAGACTAACTCCTAAACCAGCGATTAAGTTTTTAATGTCTTTTTACTTATTCTGTACGAATGTGAATTAAAACAAGTGTTTTTTTTTTTTTTTTGCTGTTTGCTTGTTTTTCCCGGAAGTAAACCTGTTTCCACAAATTGCTGCCAGGGCTCCCAATCCCTCATCAAGTTTCTTGAAAGCCATGCATTCACCTTTAAATACCAGCATATCTCAAGATTCAGGGGACTGCTCGATACTGATCTTTCAACTGGCTTCATTTAGTTGAAAATACATGTTGCTGTATTCAAAACTTGGAAAGAAGGTTGGGCAATCTACTTCTATAGTGATACTGCCTCAGAAACCCAAGGAGGAGTCGCTATAAGTCAGATCCGACTCCACAGCAGCAAGTTTGCTTTTGGTTTGGTATACAAAACACCTAAAGAATTGTTAGGTGCTATTGATCTGGTCTTCAACTCATAGTGGCCCCATGTGATACAGTAGAACTGCCCTCATAGAGTTTTCTGGGCTGTAATCTTTATGAGAGCAGATTGTCAGGTCTTTCTCCCATAGAGCCCCTGGGTGGGTCCAAACCACCTGTCTTTCTTTCAGTTAGCAGCCGAGGATTTAACCGTTGCATACTAGAATGCTTTTCTAAAGAATTAGCAGAGCTCATCTGACTCACTTTCCAATCCATGTGTGATGTCAGACTACTGAGTTTAATTAAGCAGAGATCTAGCCCCTTCTGTGTCTCTTGTCAAGGTTTATCAGCATTTGGTTACCTCTCTCAGGTGAACTTGGCCTCACTTTATTCACTTGAGAGATGAGCATAGGTATGGATCTCACAAGGATCTAAGGCTGTTTTGTAGGGTTCTCTGCAACACATTAATTCCCTGAGAGATTTAAGTTCTGAAACAGACGTGAAGCATCATGCTTTTGGAACCTGGGTTCACAGAACTTGAATTTGAATTGTATGGTCTTTGGAGTTAGCTGTTGTTAGGTGCTGTTGAATTGACTCTGACTCATAGAGACCCTATGTACAGCAGAACAAGTGAGATATGCCTAGTTTCAATGCTGATTTCACCATTCTCAAGCTGTGTGACTTCACAAAATATAAGCTTTAGTTTCCTTATCAGTTAAATAGTAATAGTGACAGATTTGCCAGTATAAGATTGATGATGATGTAGGTACTAGTGGAGAGGATGAAGGGATGATGATGATGTCACCTCAAATTAAGTCATTACCACTTGCCAGATATTGTGCTGATTCTTTATATGTCTTCCCTCATAGTACTTACAGTGACCCTCTGAGGTAGGTAATACTGTTATTGTTGTTATTATATACCCTTGGGGTCAGCTAGGACTCATAGTGGCCCTATGTGTGAAAGAACAAAGCATCGCCTGATCCTGTGGTATCCTCACAATCATTGCAATGTTCGAGCCCATTGTTGCAGCCACTGTGTCAATCAATCTTGTTGAGGGTCTTTCCTCGTTTTCTTTATTGAGCTGACCCTCTACCAAGCTTGATGTCCTTCTTCAGGGACCAGTCCCTTCTTATGATGTGTCCTGAGTAAGTGAAATAAAGTCTCACTGTCCTCGCTTGTATCTGGCTGTACTTCATCCAAGATACATTTGTTTGTACTTCTGCCAGTCCGTGCTATATTCAAATTGCTTCAAAAATGCCATAATTCCAAGTAGGAACTGGGATCTTAAAAGCTAGCAAGTGACCTTCTAGATGCAATGATGGGTCTCTCCCCATCCAGAGCAAAGAAGAAGGAAGAAAACCAAAGACACATGGAAACAATTAGTCCAAGGGACTGGTACACCATGCGATCCTCAGCCTATATGACTATGAGATCAGAAGAACTAGATGGTGCCCAGCTACCACTCAACCACTCGGAGGGGGATCTATATAGGAGATCCTGGATAGAGTAGGAGAACAATGTGGAACAAAACTCAAAATCATTAAAAAAAAAAAAAAAAGAAAAAAGGATCTAGGTTTGCTGGTTTGGTAGAGCCTGATGGAATGCCTGAGACTACGGCCCCTACCTGCCCTTCAGGTCTGGAATTGAATCCACTCCTGTGGCTTCCAGCCAAATAAAAAATAGTCATATGAGCTGAACATTTACAGTAGCTAGTCACACTCCTTGGAGAGATCAATCATGGAAGAGTGGGAGGGTTATATATGCACAGGGAGACAGCTCCGGGGGCAGGAGTGCATGGGAGGGAAGGACACAGGGAAGAGGTAACTATGTGGAGGAAGTGGGAAGAGAGCTGTTGCGTTGTGGGAAATTGTAATTAATGTCATGAGACGAAGGGCATGTGAACTGCTTCATGGAAAATGAATTTTCTCTGTAAACTTTTACCCAAATTATAATAAAATTTCTTTTTTAAAAAGTGTCATAATTCAAAGGCATCAATTCTCTGATCTTCCTTATTCATTGTCTAGCTCTCATATGCATGTGAAGCTATTGCAAATAT